TGGGGGATCTCACAGCAGCACACTAGCATGCTCATTGCAGTCTTGGGGAATCACTGCCCTAAACAGTATCTCAGCCTGGGTTTGTTTACTAGCCACTTGCCCAAATGGTGCTTCTGAAAGATATCCAGGCTTGGGCTCTGGTAGTCCCTAATGGGGAGTGAGTTCCAGAGCTGAGGAGTGATTGCTGAGAATAACTTCCCATGACAAGCGGTGGTTGCAGGAGGTTGCTCACAGCTGACCTTAGGGTTTGCAGTGGGGCATAAGGGAAAAGGGAGTCCCTTAAGTACGTAGGGCCCATACTGTTTAGGGTCTTATAAGTCAAAACCAGCACCATGAATTTCTCCTGGAAAGCTATTGGGAGTCGGTGCAGGCTTTACAGTACTGGAGTTATGTGCTCCTGGCAACCCACTTCAATCAGAAAGTGGACTACCGTGTTCTGCACCAGCTGCTGCTTTCACACGGTCTTCAAGGGTCGTCTTACATAAGAGTACTACATTGTAATAATCTAGCTTTGAGATTTGGAAGGCGTGGGTGGTGGTGGCCAGATCTGAATCTGAAAGAAAGGGTTGTAGCCTTCTTACCAGATGGAGTTGGTGAAAGGTGCTCTTAGCCACTGCTGCCACCTGAAGATCCATCTGCAGCAGAGAATGCAGAAGCCGCCCCAAGGCCATGAACGTGAATGACAAGGGAGGCTGAACTCCATCAGTGATAGGTGTCTTAATCCCCCAAGTCACGTGGTTTGCCCATCACCATCATCTCTGTCTTGTTTGGATTCAGTTTCAATTAGTTCACCCACATCCACTCTCCAACTGCAGCCAGGCAACAGAAAAAGACTGAAACTGGTGTGGGTCAGATGGGAATGAGGTAGGACTGGGTGTCATCAGCATACTGATGATCCTTTACTCCAGATCTCTGCAGTCACACCTAGCAACCTTATGTACACATGGAACAGGAAGAGTGGCAAGATGGAGTCCTGAGGAACTCCATAGGAAAGATCTCGAGGAGTGATGAGCACACACCTATCATCCCCCTCTGAGGTTTCCCTGCTAGGAAAGAGCAGAACCAATTTAGAATGGTCCTGTGAATACCCACAAGGTTATGTAAATGCTTTAGCAGCACCTCTCAGTCAACTGGATCAAAGACTGCTAAAAGATCTATTAAAATCAGCAGGTCACAGTTTCCCTGTTGATCTCCAGGGAAAGATCATTGACCAAGACCACAAACACAGTCTCTATGCCAGGGGTGGGCAAAATGCGGCCTGGGGGCTGGGTGCAGCCCGCCAGGCTATTCTATCCGACCCAGGGGGTACCTAAAAAAAAAATGTAGAAAATTAACATTTATCTGCCCTGGGCTGCCTGCCCCTGCTCTATGCTGTGGCTCTGGTTTGTTGATTTATAAAACAACTGTTGTGTGAAAGTACAGTCACTACGATCTTTTAGGTAGATGAATTTGGGGTTTCTATTATTGACCAAAAATTCTTCAGTGAAATGTATAATTCTCTGTAGTATAAAACAAAACAAAAACCCCAAAGAATCCATCTCTTTTTAGAATGAGTGAAAGTTTTGATTTCCCTTTAAGTTTGTATGGAATAGTTACTAGGTTTTTCCAACCTATCAGGTTGTTTATATACATGCTCTGGGAAGTGTGTGTGGGGGGGGGAGCGTCTTAATTAGAGCAGCTCCAGGAGCTGCTATTAATTAACACCTGCAACATCACATGGGTCAGCGCTCCTGCACTGAAAAATGATGTCAGGGGTGTTTTAGCTAAAGCTCGTTGAATGAGCTTTAGTTAAAGCACCTCTGTTGCCATTTTTCAGCATGGGGATGCTGATGCATGTGATGCTAGAGTCTGCTGGAGTGCAGCAGGCTTGATTAATAGTCTGCTCCACGCTGTAATTACAGTGTGTCAGAGCAGCTGTGATGCATGTGTATAGGCACCCTTAGTTTTTAGTTACCATGCCCCTTGCTATCTAGGTACTAGTAGTTTGGTCTCTAATTGCTGGACCCCAGTGAGTTTATACTATATAGATGTGTAAAAACAAAAACAACTCCCCCCAAAAAACCAAAAACAAAACAAACCCACTATGGCTTGTGGATCTGAAACTATGTCATATACATAGTTAAAACCTCTCTGCATCATTCTCTTGCATGTGTAGTTTGGAAATCTGACAGTGGCCTCTTTTTAGCTTAAATCAAAATTTTCTCCTATAAAAGAAACAGTATCATTAGCTTGTGGGGCTCTTCATCCTTTGTAAGTGATGTGAACAGCTCTTGGTCTAGGTTTATCTGAACACTAATTTTTGTTGTATAGTAACTGACACTGAGCTTGGTTGGCACATCCTGGAGTTACCTTGTGCAGTGTCTGTCTGGTGGTGCCTTTGGGGTATAGAGACTCCAAACATTTTCTAGCTTTTGTTTTGAAATAGCTTTCTTTGAAAATCAGGAATTAAAGGCCAACTACTTTTCTTGTAGTGCGGAGACCAAAACTAGATACAGTACTCCAGGTGAGGCTTCACCAGTGCTGAGTAGAGCAGCAGAATCTCTGCCCTTGATTTACAAAAACCCATGCCTGTTAATATAACCTAGGATGCTATTGGCTTTTCTTGGCAGCAAGAGCACACTGTTGGCATAATGTAGCCCCCAGGTTCTTTTCTGCAGTACTGCAGCCTAGCCAGTCATCTCTCAGGCTGTATTTGTGTGTGCAATGACACTTATTTGCATTTTTCTACCTTGGAGAACACAAGAACAGCAGCAGAGTTTCCCACTGCCTGAAGAAGGGTGTTGTTTGTGCCCAAAAGCTGGCAAAGAACTTTTTTTCCAACTGTGTAGTTGATCTAATAAAATATATCACGTCTACCCAAAGAAGCTTGCCTGCCTGTGTGCAATTACTATATTTTCATGAATTCAAGATGACTTCCCCCTCCCCCCACCTTCAGTGTTGGGGGTGCGGATCCTGTCCTGGAGCTGGGTACAAGTTGTTGTGGGCAGGTAGATGTTGTGACTCAGGCCCTGACTGAGGGTTGGAGTCGCAGTTGGAACCACAGTAATGGCCCCCACCTTGTTCTCTGCGCCTCTGCTTCACTCTGTTGCTGGTGCTTACCCTCTGGTTCTAGGCCAGAGCCTGGAGTGCATGTTACCTCCAGCCCCTTCCTGGCCACATGATTGTGGTGGTGGCGGCCCCAGGGCCACATGGTAGGGCTGAGGCTGGAGCTGAAGTTGCCACCACTGCTTCTGCATAGCCAGGCAGGGGCTGGGGGAGGGCAAGGCAGGTAAGTGCTAAGGGGGTTCAGGTGGGAGCAGGGGGGCAGGATAAGTGAATGGGGGGGGTCAGGCTGGAATGAGCAGGGGATGGTAGGGGTGCAGGCAGTAGAGTGGGCAAGTGGTAAGGGTGGCAGGTGGTGAGGGGCAAGATATGGTTGGGGCACAGGCAACAGAGGGGGGAAGTGGTGAGGGTGGCAGGGGCCAGGTCACTTGACTCCCCTGCTGCTTGCCATGCTGCAGTGGTTGTTGGAAGGGGTTGAATTTAAGATGGCCCTCCAATAACTAGGTTATAAATGTTCTGTGTTTAGAAACAAATTTAAGACGAACACCCAATAATTAGATGTTGTCTTGGTTTCAGGTCAGTACAGTATTGCATTCCAAATGCAGGCCTTTTCACTTGTCTTTGTTGAATTTCGCCTGATTCATTTTAGACCATTTTTCCAGTTTGTCCAGGTCGTTCTGACAGCATTTGAACTTTCAAGATGCTTTCCATAGAAGACATAGCTTGTAGAGCTCCAATTTTCATACATTAGGTTGTCAGCTTGTTCAGATGTTCACAGATATCTTTACAGTGCAGACCACCTCCCATTCCTAACACATTTATAGCTATTAAAGCAGTTGCTTACATGTATGCTAATGTATTTTTAGCTTGCTTTCAGATGCTAAATTGTATTAAAGAGAGAGTCAGTGCTACATGACCAGTTTTTTCTTTGTCAACCCCAATGTTCTGTGACCTGGGTTTTGAGAACAGCTGAGCCAGTACACTTAAGACTTGGTCTGTATTTTTAAAGTATTATTGGTATAACTTTTAGGTGGGACTGGGTTGGTGGTAGTGGGGAGAATCTTCGTTAAAATGTTTATGCTAATAAAAGCCCTAGTGTAGGCTTAATTTAGACTTGGACAATAAAGGGAATAACTATATAATAATCTAATACTAGTGTAAAACAGCTATATACCAATACAAGTGCATTAATGCTAGTGTGACTTTCTGTTTTTAAGTATGCCAGTATACCTGTAGTGTAGTACAGCATTTTACTGCAGCTTTCTGCTGTGGTCCTGTGCTGGCTGATTGACCCTTAAATGTTGGTTCCTTTTCAACTGTTTTGGATAATTCACATATATATGTTTCAGAGGAGGCGAGATGGAGGGATAGAAAGGTGCTTCTCGCTCAAGCCTATTTTACCAGTTGCTAAACCTTAGATAAAATTGTTGGGGAAGTTCTGTTGCTGTTTTGTTCTTCAGCCTATAAGCGTCTTTGGACCTTTGTACTCTGCAGTTACCCAGCAGGCTGTATGTAGAGCTTATGTGGCTCAAGGTCTTGACTTTCAAACCAGAATCTTCTAGTTGTGAAGGCTAGGCATTCACGTAAAGGAATCCCATACCCATAATGTAATAATCTGTGTGGTTGATTTTTCACTTTTTTTTTTTCCTCCTTGCCTTGATAGTACACAGGGCTAGACTTACTAATTGCTGTACACTTGGTATATAGTCAGTGAGAGAAGAACAGTACGCCCAGTATGAACACTCACTCCTTTGGTGGATAGCAAATAACATGAGAGAAAAAAACTGCATAGAATGCAATTCATACCAAGAGAGTAGCAGATTTCTCAGCTAAAGCATTTTTCACTTGTTACCTGTTTAGAGGGTTCAGTGGTAATTCTGGCAGGGAGTAGGTTATAATCCTTCATCAGCCATTTTCCTCCATCAACCATTTAGTAATTGTGATTACAAGTTCCTTATTTTGAAAATAACTTTGCCCTGCTCATTGTTTTGAAGTAAAAGCTGAAAATATATTTTTATAATTATAGATGAAAAACATATGATGTTTTTGTTCTCTACAGGAAGGAAGAAACAGAAGCTTGCCAAAGAGAGAGCAGGGCTTTCCAAGGTAATACTGTGTTAATTTATGCAGTACTATTTATAAAGATGTTGCATTTGTACCAGGTTTATTTGTAAGTGGGATCTGTTTAGAGGGTGCTATCCTTGTTCTTACTTCCAACGCATGCAACCTTCTTGCAACATGCACTGTTCGGTTTCTCAGCTTCTATAAATAGCCACATGTAGGGACTTTTGTATGACTGTTCCAGCTCTGGGAGGTGTGGCATAGTTGAACTCCTATTGAGTTCAGCATTAAGAAAACCTGCTTGGGATTATGTCCTTAAGGACTGTTAAGGTTTACAAATTGCTAAGAGGGTATAACTTGTGTGACTTGACTTCTGGATAAATAATGGGAGAGGCAAGGATTTCTTAGGGTGATACTTTTAATTGGACCAGCTATGTAGTTGGGATAAAGCTTGACAAGATTTCAAATGTAAGATATTCTTCGTCAGGTCTTTCACTCGAAAGCTTGTGAGGCTTCATCCCGACTACATAGCTGGTCCGATAAAAGATATGACTTTAAGAAATCCTTGCCTGTAGAATAATTTCTGGACCATTACGGCTACAGCATCACTCACACACGACCGAATAAATGATAGGTAACTTTCTGTTCAAGTTTTGGATTTGATAACATCTTTTTTCTTATTACTGGTGAATCTCTCTAATGTACAATGTCAAAAATAAACCAGTGTTGCCCAAAATGTATAGCCTTTCATAGACATTTCCAGCATACTCTTTTACAAATCATTGTAGTTTAAATTTCTTTATAACATCAGCCTTGCATTATTATGGTGGGACATGGAATAAGGCAGGGGTGGCCAACCTGTGGCACATGTCCCACAAATGGCACAGAAAGCCTTTGTATGTGACATGCAATGGATCAGGGAGGGAACAGAAATTGGAGCCCCCAGAACAAGCATGGAGCAGAAAGCAGAGCAACAGATCAGGCAGAGGAAGGGGGTATGGGTGGCACTCAAAGGGTGCAGGGCTTACCTTGTGGTAAAAAAGATTGGCCCCCAGTGATTTAAAGAATTTGTGTATGATTTTTAGGGCCTTGACAGATATTACATTTATCACCTTATTAACATGTTAATTGCACCCTCATTGTGCCATAAATTGCAACATGCCACATGTTCAGCAAATTTATAGCATCATAAAATGTGTAGAACATCTTTGTGTTTGGTTTCTATGGTGCTTTAAATTGACTGTCATCATGCTTGCTCTACTTCCTGCTTGTGAGGTGCAGGACAGGGCATTTAAGAATGCTGTGGGCAGGAAGCTGCTGTGCTGCTTCCACCATTGGCACATTTGTAGCCTTGCCCTGTACCCCCTGTGCAGTGGATCAGACAGTGTGTAACCAGCAGTTCCAGGACACAGCCCATTCCCTGGGATGGAACAGCGGACAGCCTGAGAACCCAGAGATGCACTATATATACCCCATCTGGATGCTCAGCTGAGTGTTGGGATTGGGTCTAGGGTCTGGAATGTAGCTGTAGTCCTAATCCCACTGTGGGATTGGGTTTGGGGTGGCCCCAGCTCCAAAAAAAACAAGCATGTAGCCCAACTGTGGTATACATGTAGTGCAGACTCAGGACACTGGGAACCGAAGAGTGGGGATGCTACCCTGCCCTGGGCTTTTAAACATCATGTGTACAGCCCCTCTGGGCTGCATGCAAGCTTTTTAGTTCTAGGGCTATCCTGTGTCTGATTCTCGCCTCAGGATCCAGTATGGGGCAGCCCTGGGTCCTGTTTGGAGACTAGGGCCTATCACCAGCCTGATCCTTAGGTTTGGACTGGGGTCAGCTGTATCCCAGACCCAAGGGTCTGCCCCGTGCCAAGTCCCCGTGTTCAACTGAGTGTTGGGATTGGTCATGGCATAGCCCCAGCATCCAAGATACAGCTGCCCATTGCGCAACCCACAGGATCAGGCTTCAGGCAGCCCTGGTGGCATGTGTGGCATGGCAGGAAGCATGATGTTTGGGATGGGGCATAAAAATCTTCTTCATATTCCGATTACACCATTATTTTAACATCTGCCAAGGACCTTAGAAATATTCATACGACTTTAATGTAGCAGTACATTTTAGATGTTTAAAATGGTAGTACTTAATCCTTTTTAATATGTTTCTGTAAAAATGAATAGCTTTTTATTTTTGTTTTAAATTGAACTGTTCTCTGTTTTGCTTATCAGCTTTGTTGTGGGCTGGCTTGCTAATTTTATTCCTTGTTACAGCTCCCTGATCTAAAAGATGCTGAAGCTGTGCAAAAATTCTTTCTTGAAGAAATCCAGCTTGGTGAGGAATTACTAGCACAAGGTAGGTATTGCAAAAATATTTAAAACAAATAATTTTTTGGAAAAGGGAATTCTTCCAGGAAGAGTTTTATATGCTATTGTGTCCTGGCATAAGTATGTTAACTAAATGTTTTGGCCATCAGTATAGGTACAGAAAATCTTTGAGTGCAGCCCTAGCTAATTGGCCTCCCACTCATGACTGGAACTGGGTGCTTTTGTCACGTGTCCTGAGGTGGTCCAAAATTTAAATGCAGATGAGGTGCAGGGCTACCTGGTCCAGCTTTCTCTCATGGAGAGTGGGGCCACACTAATCATATGCACTAGTTTGAGAGAGGGGGCTACAGAGGGATTCTAGGTTAACTGTTTGGGGCCCCTTTTGGTGACGTTTCCCAGGCTACCAGGCATTTAAGACTGGTGAAGAAACAGGAATCATTGAAAATAGGAAAGAAAGGTGCAGTTCAGCTGTGAGAGTGAAGAGGAAGTAAAAATGTATGCAGGGTAGTGGCTCACCATGACTTGGAAAAAGAGTCAGCGCTGAGGGGGACTGTGCTTAATGGGCACTACCACATATTTTATGCAGATAGGCTGCATTAATAGATTTTTGTGATTGGGCAAACATGCTGATGGGAACCTATGTGGGCTATGTGTTTTGTAGTCATGCTCAGTGTTGGCTGAATTTAATCAACTTCAGATTTGGTTTCCACTGCTTGAGCACAGGCTGCTTCTGGCAGCAGTTTAATGATAGGCATTGTATTTAGCAAGATTTCCTTGCATGTGATTATAAGATGGAGGAGCTCTTTTTTCCCCCGTGCCAACAGGGGCAATGGGGGCATGAATAATATAAAAATTACTTATCTTGTATTTGAGTAAATGTGGTATTGTTTCAAATATGCAACAACTATTTAAACAAATCTAGTTCAAAATAATTGAACATTCTCTTCTTTTTTATATATATAATTTGCTGTAACAGATTTCTCTTGCAATTTGTTTGGTCTATACTGCAGTTAGTTAGAGGTTAACAGAGATTTACAGTCTTTTCTATGAAGGGTAGAACCAACACAATTTGGGAATTAAGCAGTTATAACTAACTTTCTGCACAGTATTGAATAGTTTGGGTAAACCTCAAGCCACTATAAAATAAAGTCCCATCTAATAATGAAAAAAACTGCTGTCACATAAGAATCTACTCTTGGTCTGAGAACCGTGGAAGAATCGGCTTTCCTTTTAAAACTCAGCTTCCAAATTGTGAAAAGTAACTGTTTAATCTTTTGGGGTGTTGGTTGTAGCCGTGTTGGTGTAAGGACATAGGCAGACAAGGTTCTTCGGATAGATGTGATATCTGTTATTAGACCAACTAAATAGTTGGAAAATTTGTTCTTGGCAAGCTTTTGGGAACAAAAAGAAGGGTGTTTGTCCCTGAAAGCTTGCAAAGAACATTTTTTCCAACTATTTAGTTGGTCTAATAAAAGATATCACATGTCCCCAAAGAACCTTGATTGTTTAATGTAACATTTAGAATAACCCCGAAACTGACATCCAGCACTTTCTGCTGGGAAATGTAGTTGTGCAGTTCTACTCTGCAACAATAAATGGGACTCCTGCTGAGAGAGTATCATTAAGATGTCAGCCTAGTTGAGGCAAAAATTCCTTTTGCTTAGTAGAAAAATCTTAAAGATATCAGGCATTTCTAAAATCTGTATTCAGTTCTTTAAAACTCATTTCTATATTTAGTGTGTGTGTGCTTGTGTCAGTATATGTAAGGTGGGGTTAGGATGTTTGTTAGGCCAGTAGAAATTAGTGGGTGGATGCCTCCTATTCCAATTAGCTCTTGGAAATGAAAAGTAGTTGTATCTGACCTAGTTAGACAGCTTTGGAGTTTGAAAGATTCAAATAAGAATGGGGAGTTAAAAAAGTGGCAATGTTTCTTCTTCAGCAGCATTTGCAGTTTACTTCTACAAGGCAAACAAAGAAACATTCTGCACCAAAAGCACTTTTTTTTTTTTAAAAAAAGGAACCTTTTGTCATGTAGGTGAATACGAGAAGGGTGTCGACCACTTGACAAATGCCATTGCTGTGTGTGGACAACCACAGCAGTTATTACAAGTTTTACAGCAGACTCTTCCTCCACCAGTGTTCCAGATGCTTCTTACTAAGCTCCCAACAATTAGCCAGGTACGTATTGGGAAATGGAAGTAATTTGAACTGCGTTTCTCCAAGAGGAGTAGAAAGTGATTTTTTTTTTTTTTTTAAAGGGCTGTTTCTCTGGTTTCACTAGGAAGGCAAAAAATCATTGCTAATACAAAATAAGTGATTATTTTTCCCACTGAAACGTGCCGGGGATGTAAGTAAATATTTTTGTCAAGTGCCAGAAATAGTCCAGTGTCAAATATGCATTTGATTATTATATTACCAGGTAAGATTCCCTGAATGACTAGAACCTCATTTCCCCTTTCACCCAGAAAAGAGGTATTTTATTTTAAATACACGTTAACCTCTTAAAAATAAAGATTTATAACTCTTTGACCCTATGTAGCTATAAAACAGACTACATCAGGTGAACTGAAACATCAAAACTGAAAAGATGTCATTTCATGTTTTTGGATCTCAAGCTTAAAAAAGAGTCTCACAACTTTAGTGTCACAATTTTAGTCTCTTCATTTTTTAGTTTAAAACGAGTGCCAGAGGGGGGAAATTTACAAGCTGATTCCTCTTGAACAGATACTTCTAACTTGGGTGGATGAGTAGCTTAAATTGCAGTAGGGTATTTATTCCTTGTAGCTTTAGGTTCAAAATGCCCCTTCCTTTCAGAAGGAGTGTACTATGTGGGAGGCTGCGTCTGGGGTAATAAATTAACCGAGCTCCTGTCTAGTTTGTATAGATAGTAGATTGGGGTTGCTCCAGCGTCCTCCATGACACACTCCTCAACCAGTTGTATAGTAGTCCTTTATGCTACATAGTTGCCACACTTCAAGCCAGGCATGGCTATATTTTAGTTGCGAAGTATGTTGGTAATCTGTAGATTTTGGAATGAAAGGCACCATAACAATGGGTAACATAAATTTTCTCTGAACAGGAGTAGCAAGTAATAATAATCTATTTTGTTGTACGGACAGAAGTGATTATTTGATTTCTAATAAGAGATGTTACTTATCTGGCACTAGCTTTGTAAAGTATTTTGTTTTTACAAAGGTGACTCCAAAAATCCCTGTGAAATAGATGCTAAACTTTTAATTTGTTTTGACAATCTTTTAATGTTCATATAACGATTCAGCTGTTTAATGCTGAATATAAAATTTCATTGTTTTATAACAGATTATCTGGTGACAATTTTATGTGAAGTGAATAAGACTTTTTCTTCTTTCTGCAGAGAATTGTAAGTGCACAGAGCTTAGCTGAAGATGATGTTGAATGAGATCATGCCACACCAGAGAAAAATTAGTGATTTCATACCCCAGAAGATGAGCATCAGTGGGGGGATAAAGAGGGCAAACATCGTAGTTAATGGACTATGTACTACATTGAATCTACCAGAGTTAATCTTTAACTTTGGATAGGTGGGTCTGGCTGGATTTTATTTATTTATCCCAGTGAAAAGTGTATTTTGATTAAAAAAAAAAAAAAAAAAAAAAAAAAAAAAATTCATTTTATAAATACACTGTGTTGAGTTATCAAAGTGTCACTAACTTCATTACTATTAAAATATGCAGATGTAATGTTGTACATAGAAAGGTATAAAACTACTACGTATTAAATACCCAATGCTCATTTTTGAAAAACAAAGTGAAGGCAATAAAGATTTATCTGCACCTGTATGTCCATATGGTGGTCCTTTTAGATCTTGAAGCAGCTTACTCTGACACTTTAAAGCTATCTTTAAAGAATTGTCCTTATCATGTAAACTTGTTCTTAATAGTATGTCGGGTCTTCAAAATAGTTAACCATGCTTTTAAACAGCAGGTGGAAAATCTTTGTGGCCTATTGACAGAATAGACACGCAGTTAATAAAACAAAAGCCAGTCATGTACAGCAATAAAAGGAAGATGCAAAAAAGGAGGGTGATGGGAGATCAAGAGTGAAGGCTTAGAGACAAAGAAAATGAAGAATCCTGTTATTGCCAGAAACAATAAAAGCTGAATAGTTGCAAATAAAAACCAGAGCTGCCTGACTTAAATTCAGTTTATTGCAGCTGTAAGAATGGAAAGGTTTTTAAAAGCTGGAACCCACTGTGCAGGGAACGAGAATAACTAACAATTTAGGCCCATTGTTATGGCTTGGAAGACTTAGAGTGGTCATTAACAACTGGAAACATGACAAATATTTTTTTAAATTCATGCAAGTAACCAAGAAAACAAATTAAGATGATGATGTCCACAGGCTAATTAGCTAAAAAACACCAAAAAAATGCATAAAAATAGTTCATGAATTCTCAGTTCAAGGAAAAGACCATAAAAGTGGGTTAAAATAAATCACTGTGCTTTTCTTCATTTACAAATAGGAAACATACATGAAGTATAATCACACAAAAATAAGTGTGCAGTATAAAAGCCCTTTGCAAGGCTGAAGTTTTCCATGGATAGAATGAGTGTAACATCTTGGAAATAATCCATTTTTCTAAAGTATCCTATTTTTTCCTTTTGTTGCCACAACCATACAAGTTGCCAGAGGAAGCAATTGAAGATGAAAACTTGGATTTCGGTTAGCTTGGTGATGAGTGTTAATGTCAGGAATAGCAGGAAAGAGT